GGATAATGCTTTCAAGAAAGGGGACTGTTATAAAAGTAAAACAGAAGGAGAATCTGAAAAGTGGACCATTTTCAAAATGCTCTGATTTGACTTTTTTTTTTTTTTTTTAAGTTTGGTGTTTGCTACGCCCCTGTGTTGTGCTCTGTTTCCTCAGAAAAGGTATGTAATTGTTATTCTTCAGAATGCTTGTGAGTTTTAATCCTAAAAACTAGGTGAAGATGCGGTGCTGTTACTGCATCTCACTGGGTAGGGAAGTTGAGACTCAAAAAGACAATGATGCAAAGTTCTCTGAAAGGAGGAAATAGAGGCAGAAATCAAACTGATGTCTGTTTAGTTTCAAAACTCTCTGTACCCAGCTCTTCTCTCCCTCTCCCCTTAAATTTGAAAATGCTTTATTCTTTTGTAAGCGTCAGGTTAACTCTGGTATAAATTTGCTTTTATAAAAATTTAACCACAGTTCGTGGTCATCCAATCCATTGGCAAATGCATCTATAATACACATGTGTTGGAATTTAAGTTCCACCCCCAGGGACAGCAATTATATGCACTTTGCTTAGGTAGTTGGCATATTTGCTTCCCTTCTCCCTACTTAGCTTTTTGCCTTAAAAGCTTTCTTGTGCTTGTCTTTCGTCACAAGCTGCCCCTGAATTTGGCCTTCGATGCAGAACCGGAGTGACTGGTATTCAGTCAGCATTGTCTACATCCAGGTCTGCAGCCACCTCCGAACACTGAGGCACCAAGCAGCAGCATTTTGCTGGTTTGGGTTTTGTTTTAGTGTCACCAGGCAGCTTGCCTTTGTAATACCCTTTCCTTGGTGAGCCAGCAGGTCCCAGACATATGGTCTTCAATGCCCTGGGCTTTCGAAGGAGGTTTGGGGTGAAGTGTTCATTCTAGAACTAACTTCACTGGGTCTCTCTATCTGATAGAGAACACCACCTGTCGTCTGCTGCTCCACTCCGTCCTTGACCCTGCTGTTCCCAGGTAGAGACTCAACTCTCATAGGCAGGGTGCCCTTCATCACCTTGAGGAGCCCCTTGAAGAGGGCAGGACCTGTCAGAACCTGTCCCAGCAGCCCAATTCAGAGGCGTTTCATCACCTCTGAAGTGGAGTCGTCGTACCTATTTAATTGTACAAACCCCAGAATCTCAGGGCTTTACCTAAGAACAGCTCATTTCTTTAGTCTGTAGCAGGTGGACGCCAGTGTTCGGCACCCGAGCGCACACTCCGTGATTAGTCACAGTAAATAAAACACCGAGGCGAGTGCCTCATACCGAGGACACGCCTAAGAAATGCAGCTGTTATTATTTTGAGATTAAAAAGATTTTATTTTTGAAAACCCGCAAAGAAACTTCCTAGTTAGGCCTTGATTTTGTGTGCATGCTATAAGAAAAACAATATATTCTTTCTGGCGTTTATTTTTATGATTCATTTAAACTCCAGGTGTAGATACTGAAAGTTTTCTCTGACTCCTAGGGTCATGAAGTCAAAGCCTTGAAAAAGTACAGGGTTTTACATTTGGGAAACCAACGCTCTTTTGCTCTATTTAAAAGTAGAGCTTATCGATCTGTATGTGGTTTGTGCATTTGTTTGTGTGTTTGCTTTTCTTTATGTCTCTTGCTCCGCAGTTGCATAGAGTGTGGGATTAGTCATATTCCGTGGTTCATGATACACTATGCTCATTGGTCCAAGCATGACCCTATTTTATTTTTATTTTATGTATTTTAATGATATAATGAACATCTATGAATTTACTGCCCAAGCTATGACTTAAAAATATTACCGATAAGTTACATCTTTAGTTTTTCATCTTTTGGAACTTTTTAGACAAGGCTGTCAGACTATTATACTATATATAGTCTTCTAGTACTTGTTTCTTTTATTCAGTATTCATCATATAGCTAAGATTCCCCCACATTATTGCATGTAGCTGTATTTCATCATTGTTACTGCTGTGTAGCAGTCCACCGTATGCATATACCACAGTCATCCATTCCCCTGTGTGAATAAGTGAGAATGAAAACATTCCTGATTAAAATTTGTGGGAAGTAGCAAACGTGTTGCTTTGAATAGCTTTAAATGTTTATGTTAGAAAGAGTGGCTGAAAATCAACGCACTAAATATTGAACTTACATTTTAAAAAAGGAACAAAAGAGTAAACCCCAGAAAAAGAAGAAGGAAGGAGAAAAGATCAGAAATAAATAACACAGATAACCAAGAGTAGAGGATCGAAAGAGTAGAAGAGTAGAAGTCGAAAGTTGGTTCTTTGAAAATAGTAACAAAATAGACAATTGTCTGAGATTAATCAAAAGAAAAGAGAAAGAGACAAATAATATTATGAATGAAAAACAGGTATAACTATAGATTCAGCAGAGATGAAAAAGATAATAAGAGAATATTATCAACATTATTATAACAGATTTGAAAACAGGCAAAATTGACAAATTCCTAAAAAATATTAGCAAAGTTGAAAAATGAGAAAGCTGAATAGGCTTATGGCCATTAAGGAAGTGGAAGCA